AGTGTGATCGTGGTAGAGTCAGGCTTAGCCAGTCCAAACCGAGTGAAAAGGGGTATCAATAAATTCTTTAATTGCTTTTTACTTGTTGCTTGTATCTTCTAATAAAACAGATCCCGGCGGCCATTTTTAGAATATAAACCTCATTTAAGCTTTTCACTGAGTGAGTGAAGTCACCAATAGCCCAAACCCCCTATTGCTGGGGGGGCGGACCAAGGCCAGTCATGGACTTGTGTCTCTTTAGTTACAGTAATCCTAGGTGTTTTAAGTTTTGTTGTTTGTAGCTGAAGGTTGTACCATCACTTACCATCAATTGACCCACCTGCAAGAACGAGAGACCCTGACCTGCTCGAAACACTCTCACCCTTTTCCTACGTTGGTTTCCCTTCTTACCTACCTTTTTGTACATTTTTCTTCGGATTTTCTATTTTGATTACCAAAATAGTAGTTTAACGCAAAGAAGCTTGTTTTTGTTACGTGTATCAGACCAAATTATATTTGGCTAAAATTGGGAGTTGAATACACTTGTGCTCACCCCTTGGAGGATACAGGCTACAGTGTACTTTTATATGATTTCAAAAATATACGACTTAAGCTTGGACTGTCCAAGTCATATCTTTATTCACATATACGAGTGAGTATTATTTGTATTGTTGAGGCCTAGTGTGAGTTTATTTCACCTGAACTCACTCTTTAGGGCGAGCGCGTTTGGCGTTGTGATTTGTGGAAATTTTAGTTATAGAAATTTTAGAGAGCCTAGTGCAAGTTTATTTCATATCAATCGGTGAAGATTTCAGTGACGGTGACGGTAAAGTAGATGTGAAATGAACTCGCACTAAGGTCTCAGTGCGGGCCAATAGCAACGCCGAACGCTGTCACCGTGAGGAGCGAGTTAATGTGAAATAAACTTGCACTAGGGCCTCTAAGCAACCAATCAGAGGATAGATACGTGTGTAAGTGTTTACTCTCACAGTCACGAGTTTTTAGATTAACTTCGAAGTAATGTGACCTGAACTTTGTTAGCATTCAGTGGAGCGAAATACCTCTGTAGACTATTTATCAAATTATATCCATCGATTCACTTCTTTAACGTTACCTCTGTAACACATTTAGAATTACGTATTTGACTAGAATATTGTATTAACTTTTTATTTTTCATTGCGATAAATTACTGAAATATTTTAAACTATCAGTGACAGAATATCAACTATAATGTTTTATATAAACAACTGATAACAAGCTAAAACTGAAAACAAACATAACTGATTTGGACACATAACCACTTACACATATAAATCTATCGAAGTGTATATTACTTATCAATCTGTGTTTTACTGTAGTTATCGGATGTGGCACGAGGTGGAGCAACAGTATTTCCGGAACTTGGTGTGAGAGTAACCCCAGTGAAGGGTGCTGCCATTTACTGGTCCAATTTTAATGGTGCAGGAGAGTTAGATACCGCAACACTGTAGTGCCGTATGCACATGTATGCCGGTTGCCCTGTTTTGCTGGGCTCAAAATGGGGTATGAACCTTGAATCAAATATTAGATTAGAGAACTAAGAATTATAATGTCTATTGTTAAAATTCACGAAATTTATTTTATCGACCGTCGTAAATGCGATTTGTTTGTTTTCCGATTTTTTTACGTCCGAAAAATCAAATGCTCGATGGGTTCTCGGTCTGAAAAACGTTATTCTGATTATCAATACTTTGAATAGATTGCTAAAATTACGATTTTAATTCTGATTTAGTCAGTATAATATTAAGTTACACATATATATTCAAAATCTATAACTAAGGTTTAATGTAATTTAAAAACATCTACTTACTATTACTGTTTCTTTTTGTGTTCTTTTCCTATTTCAAATCCCTTACCAAGCCGTCTGGCCAGCGTCGTATACAGGCTAAAACCACCTTTCTAAAGAGAAGTCTATGTCCAACAGTGAACTATTAAAGGCTTTTGATGCTTGACGATGAATTGAAGTGGTTTAGGTGATGAATCAGTCAGTCAGGGCAACTAATTTCATTTGTATACATAATGTAACGCAATAAAAACTAAGATAACTATTTTGAAACAATTATTATTTCTTTTGTAATTTAAGATAAGATACTGAGAATTGCCGATGCCGAAAACAAACGTTTTTTGTTTTAAATGTTGTTAAAAGTTTAATTGTTTTTATTATCATTTGTTATCAATGGCGATAAATATTATCTATATTAAATATAATTTAAAATAATAACGAGCCTTGTAAGCTCTAGAAATGGACACATATTTAGAAAGATAATATACGAGTCATACAAAATATCGACCACAATAGAGTACTATGGTGCCACTCCGACTTGGATGGAGTTAAAGATTTTAAACTTAATCGGTTAATTTCTCTGGGCATGTTGGTTTGGATTGCCATTTGCCCTCTGGCAATCCAAAACCGTTTTTTACTTTTTCCAACATGTTCACTTATTAATAGGCATTAGCAAAAAGGCAGTAAGCTAATTTAAAAAAAAAACAAGTAAATATTGTATTTACTCATTTTATTTATTTAATGTACATTTATTTAATGTTCAAATTTACTGTGTACATTCGACTATGAATATGAATTTTACATAAGCAACAACTAGCTAGTTTTTTTTGTTGTTTACTATTTTAAGAGATGCATTTTATAATTTTTAAGAGCTAACTGTAAAGTCGACTTTTAATTACTAATATGATTAACACATAACAAACATACGTCTGTCTGCATGTCTCTCAAAGTCTCAAAGACTCTGTAGCCAGAAATAATAGGGGTTACAGTATGAAAGTGCCGTTGTATAGTAATAGATACTTTGAATTGACATAAAACCATGCTGTGAGATTTTCACATGATACTTATCAGATTTTTCTTTTAAGAAATGTGCAATATTCGATTTTCGACTTTCAATTGTTTTTTATTCAGCTTAGACGTGAAAAATGGATACTTTGAAAATCCGAGTCATTTTTTAATATGAGTTCCGACGCGAAAGGAAAGCGGCAGAATCGGCTCGCTGCGTTTGGAGAGGAGACTGCTAATGAACGCACCGTGCGTTTTTGATTTAAACTTGAACTTGAATTGGAAACTTGAACTTGAATATCGGACCACGTGGAGGACCCTCACAGGTGAATAAAGCTGAAATGAAGGAGATGGTGGAAGGCGATCCGAGTCGAACTAACAAGGAATTGTTTAACCATGGGTCAACGTTACCCTACCTACAATATTGACTCATTTGCATAAAATCAATAAAAAAAGTTTCATGAAAAAAGGGTGTCTCATAATTTGACTGATTTGTAGAGAGAAATGCGTGTTGAAACTTATGTTGCCTTGTTGAATCGGTACAGAAACAAAGGAATTTTGGATCGAAAAATGTTTTTTTTTTACGAAAACCGTATGCGGAAAATGCAAATGCTGACCCCAGGTCAAACGCCGCAACAGTGCCCTAAGGCAAAGCTTGCCAATAAAAAGGTAATGGTAACTGTTTGGTGGTAGCAAAATGATGGCGAAACTGATAGTAAAACAGCCTCGACTCGTGAATCGGTCTTCACCATTATTGCTCCATGATAACGCAAGACCTCACCACTGCACGAGAAACCGTTGTAACTCAGCAGGGGCTGCAGTTACAAACCATATATCATTCTCCGTACTCGCCAGACCTTGCTCCAATTGACATTTTTTGTGATTTGGACAATTATCTGCGTGATAAAAAAATCTTCCCAGGAGGCACTACAAAATGCTTTTACACAGTTTGTCGAATCTAGATCCCCAGAGCTCAAAAAAAAAAATAATAAAGACTTAAATGAACTGCCATTTAGATGGCAGCAATGAATGGATAATGAGGATAAATATTTTAATGAAATAAATACGAGTATGTTACATCCTAGAAAAAAAAACAGTTTCAATTTTTCAGTAAAACTCGGCAATTTCATACTTTAACCCCTAATATAAATACCCCTAATTAATAAATGTTCTATGCAGTTTGCAATAAATGGATTCACCAATATGGCCAAGACGACTTCAAACCTTGTAAACCTGGTTACCAAAAGGATCGCAAGATTGCCCACCTGGTCACCAAGATATCCAGGTAGAAATATCAGATTTTCTTTACCAAAATAAAGCAGTCTCTATTAGTGTATTAAATCATGACCATGTTAAAAAGTAGTCGAAGTCTCGTAGACTCCTTAGTCCTTCCATCTTTTTTTAGATCGTCCTCTACTATTGTCTCCAATCATCAAATTCCATAAGTAAAACTTTCTACAGCACAGTTTGCTCATATCTTCGTCTCATACTCACAATGACATGTCCATACTACGAAATCTAAGGTAAAATGACGTATGACAACCTATTATGTCATGCTCCATTTTTCACATACTTGACATACCACACCTTGCTGAGGTTAATATTATTACATAATTCATTTGTTTTTATATCGACAATAAATTAAGAGAGATCTCTTGACGATAAATTACTAAGGCGAAATGAAAAGATAATAATTGAACTTGTCTGAGAATAATTGAAAGTACATTCACGAGCGAAATATATTGATTGATCAGTTCTAGCGTGGGTGTTGTGTAAACACGTACATACATTCACGTGTTTTGCACCTGAAGGAGTAGTCAGAGAAGTATCAATCGCCCACATTTTGCCGACAGTAATTTTTGTGATAGGGGCAAGCCTTAGGGCAAATAAACATATTCATGTAACATAATGTTATCACATAACATAATCACATTACCACAAAACGTAATGTTAAACTCATGTAATATAAATATTATAGATAGATAAATTACACCCAGATCTATTCCAAATGAACGTGCTTATTCCACAATATTTGTCCTGGGTATCACTAGACTTATTGTTCTATTCCTACAAATCCAATTACAGGGTTCAAAGCAGTAACACACACTTCACATATTAGCATCGTAAATGTAATTTGAATATTAAGCGTTACCCGTTTCTCAGTTTAAATAATTTATCATAGACAAGTAAATTTTAGGCATATTATAACATAAAATAAAAATACGTTGATGAAATATGATACATTAGATTTTTCATCGGATTATAGCATGTACTTAATCTGTAATAGAATAAAAGTATATATTTTTGCCGTTGCCTATCACCCTGAGGTGATAGGCAACGGCAAAAATATATACTTTATTAATATTTGGTACCTCACTTAACGTTGACGTGTTATGCTGAAATTCTATTTCAAGGGATTTATGAATACTTAAAAGACTGCCTACCGCTGTTATCGAGCACCCCAGCAGATCTTAGATGATTGTAGATCAGCAAGCGGCTAACCGTGGCGTAACGAGTTATTAGAAACATGTTTTATTTGAAGATATTTGCATATCTCCATGTAACTTCTAATATTACAGGGACCAAAGCTTATTTGAAGAATATAAGACTTATAAGATAGGTAAAACAAACAAAGCAACGACAGCAAATTGAAATAAAACAAAACTCCAAGAATTAAATAAAAACCGTACAAGTTACAAAACAAAACTCGTTTATTATTTAATTAACCTTACAAAAGGAGCTTCAACAGTGACTCTACTAAGAAAACATGTGAAAACTTTAAATTTAAAACATTATGATTAAATTACATAGCTTATGAATATAAATGTACCTATCAACTATGTAGGTTGCCCCTACTACGTTCAGACAGGTGTGCCAAAAATGACTCTACTGCAATCTAGTTGCGACTTTTTATCAGAACCTAACTTTCTCGTCTCGTTTATGTAAGTGAAAAGTATTTGCTTTAAGCTTGCATCTATATTTACTTTTACTTTGTAGCTTTCTAAAGAGAGAAGAGAGTTAGTAATATTTCTGGCCTCCAATTCACAAACCTCGGCAAGTAAGCGAAAAGTAAGCTTGCTTAAAGCTTACTTTTCGCTTACTTGCAGAGGTTTATGCATTTTAGGGTAATCTTATTGTTGTTAATACTGATGAACTAAAATCACAAGTAGAAATGTGAGTAAAAGTAAAAGATAAAAGAAAATTGAATATGAAGAATTCCAAATACCCAAAAAACAAAACTTAAATAAAATTTGGAATCTATCTATATCTAGCATAATTTGTAATTAATTCAAAATTACTTTTCTATTTATTTTGAATCGAATTTACAATACAAACATTTGCTACTGTAGTGGTATGACGTCAGACTTATAGTATTAGTATTAGTATAATAAGTATTAGTATAATAAGCTCATCTATATTGTGTTTATAAAAATGTTAAGTTGTTTTGTGTGGTTTTCAAAAAACTCAAAAGTTCTGCACTGATTAAGCTCAACTTTTGATATGACATAGAACATACTGCAAAGATGGTTTTTATCTAATTTTTTTTTTGCCACCACACAATGCGCCACAGCGAAGCGTGGCACAGGGTACCGCTAACTATGTTAATATATAGGATCTACGAGAAGTTTTCTCATTCGTATGAGAAAACTCGATATGAATATTCACAAAAGCCTATTTACTTTTAATACCAACTTCATAACACGACTATGTATTAAAGTATTCATGTAAATAGTTCTGCAAATCCAGTTTCACTTTTCATGCTCCAGGAATCTCATAACTCAAGGTATAAGGTATAATTTCCATGTCTGCGGTATAAGCAAATGATACTACTAAGCATATAACAAAAATGTGTTACTTTGTCTTCGTTAAAAAGGGCTCCTATCAAACAGCAAAACGGCTTCAGATATTCTTGTCTGCAATAGTAAAACGATTAGCTATTAATGTTGTAAACAGTTAATACTCAAATACACAAGTTGAAAAAAATCTACGATCTCTTTCATTAGGAATATTATACTTTAAATGGTGTCCCATGCCTATGTTCGATTTCTAAAAAGCACTGCTATAATTCAAAATTAAACTTAGAATGACAGAACCGTTTCACAATTATATCAATGTTTCCCGTAATTAAAATGTACACCGCGTAGAAAGCACAAATAGTGCTTGTGTTAGTTCTGGATACCGCTGTATGCTGTTGAGACATGTTACATATATGATAAATTCCTACGAAACTATCTATATCCAGCATTAGACCATGTGTACATAAAGTAATCATAAGGCTGACGCCAGGGCTGGAATTGGTATTGGTTTGTTAGGCTTTACAATTTAAAAAGCCCTTAGAAGGAATTTCATATTTACGGTCAGATTTAAAATACCCTGAAAAAACATCGTCTGATTATTGGCTACTATGAGAGGAACATCAAGCTGAACCGTCTGTATAAAATCGCAATGGCGTTTTTTCGATTTTGCAGTTTGCATTATCAACAATTCGCTACAGACCTGTCGATGGGAGTATTAACAAAATATCTGATGCACCCGAATATTTTTTTTTCGATTTCCTCCCCTTAGATTTTAGAAAACCTGTAGAAGTTTTTCCCACCGATGTAAGTGGATACATTATATAAATTTTATTAGTTCTATTACCTAATCTTTCAAATGCAATGGATACCCTTGACGCTCGAGTAAATCCCTATTTAGCATCATGGGCTCCCCTAGTATGCCTCCCGCTCTAAGAATGATTCCTGTTACGCTGGCGCCTTTACAAACATTCAAAAAATAGCTACATAAAAGCTCAGCCTCAGGAAAAGTTTTTGTTGGTCATTTAAACTCTTATCCAATGTGAAAATCTAATCCAAAACATTCTAGGTGCTGTAGTGACTCGGGCACGCCGTCATCGCGGCGGTAAGACCCATTATGGAGGATTGGCTCGAGAGGCGTCACGGGACCCTCTCATACCGACTGACGCAGGTGATCACTGGGAAAGGATGTTTCGGGGATCACCTGTGTCTGATCCGCAAGGAGCCAACGCCTGAGTGCCACCACTGCGATTGCCAGACCGTGGACACGGCTCTCCACACTCTGGCAGAGTGCCCGGCGTGGGTTGTGCAGAGGCGAGACCTCGTGGCGGCCACCGGAGTGGGAGTTCTCGATAGCCCGACTATCGTGCGGAGCGAGAGTGCGTGGAACTCTGCCGAACGGCGGAGCGGGACCGGAAGAGGTTTAGGACTCTCCCGGCCCGGGAACGGGCCAGGTACCGCAGGCGACTCAGGCGCCGGAGGTCGCAGAACGACCTCCGTCCTCCATAAGCGCAGGCCTGGGGGTGACAGGTGAGGCCATCTGTCACCCTAGCAGAAGCAGGCCGGGGTGGCGGCGAGCGCGCTCGCTTCCAGGGAGCAGAGGGAACATGCGGTTCCCACACGGGGGGGTCGTCTACCTGTTGTTGTAGATGGCCCGAGGTATGTCGGGGCACCAGGGACTTCCTTTCTAGGGTATACCTGGTTCCCCGGCTATTAGTACCCGAGACGGCGTGCGGTTTTAGTCGGTTCGAGTCCGACATGCCACCGACAGGTGGTATCCGAGGGGATTTCCCGAGGGAAAAAAAAGGTGCTGTAGTGACGAAGCGACCACTGTGATCAATTAGTCATCCATGCAGTCATGTAGGTACGAGGTTTATTATTACCGGAGCCTTAACACTGAAAAGCTATTTCATGTTATAGTACGTAAGGGCCCGTTCGAGACTTAACCACATAATCTATTTAACAAATAAATCTTAAAAGTCACACTCACAAGATGAAAATCAAATAAGGCACCTGTTACGGGCTTCCTTTTTCTTATAACTCGTTCCAATCACGGTAATAGAAAGAAATAGTGGGTCCTATTTAACGGTCACAGTTTTCTAGTTGATTATGCAAGCCTGACTTGGAATAATAACGCTCTGGAGTAACTGGGTTTAATTTTACTGCAAAAAAGAAAACATATTTTATTACTTATGAGCACTATTTGTTGGATTGCGTAACAACCGTTTTAGAAGAACAGACAACACGGTGAAACCACCGGCATGAATGCTGCACCAGGCCACTATACGTAGAAGTTTTCGGCAAGTCACTTCATATGCATCTTCAATAATATTCCTTACTCTACCCTTTTTCTTTATTCTGCGTGATTAAGTCTCCTAACAGGGTGAAAATTAAAAAATAAAATACCATGAAAAAGCTTATTACCGATGTTTCAGTTTAATCGAAGATATTCTAGTTGATAGCTTTGTTGAGCTTTTCGACATCCGCCGGCCTTCCTCTAACTTTTGTCAAGCAATCCTTAGAAAGTAGTAAGAACTGAAACACTACAAATGTTATCCATCATATAAACCTCTTTCCGAATAATATTCTTTTTATACCATCTGCTGGAAAACGCAAAATTCAGTTTCATGAACACAAATGGCTGTTCTTCGTGTACAAAGCTTAACAAAAATGGATATTGTGGGATTCGCGCCGACTTAAATCATATGCACTTATGACCGCAGAAGTTTATATTTTTTATGTTACTGCGGGCAAACGAACAGACGGGTCATCTGATGGAAAGTGACTACCTCGCCCGTGAACGCCTGCAGCTCAAGAGTCACAAGAGCGTTGCCGGCCTTTGAGGTATGAGTATGCTCTTTTCTTGAAGGTTTAAAGCTCGTATCGGTTCGGAAATATCGCAGGCGATAATTTGTTCCATACATTTGTTGTGCGGGGCAAAAAGTGTCACAGTGTATTATATTTATTCAGTCATTTTGTAAATCTATATATCTGAATAAAGCTGCAAAATTTATACTCAAATCAGATTCAAATCAGCGCTTCTATATTGTAGTGAACAGATTTTTTATTTTTATACGCTATCTAATTTAGTAATCATTCATACTTCTTTAAATTTTTATTATAAAAGTACTTATCTAGCTTCGAAAAATAGAAAAATTATATTAAAAAGGAAACAGGTTCACAATTTAATTACAATAGCGCCAGTTGAAGAGTTTAAAACACTTAAAGCGTGTTTTCATTGATCATTTTCTGATTCTTGAATAAAGACATTTTTAAACTACTTCTAGAGCTGTGGGATCATATCTGTCGGAAACAAAACATACGTTTTTTAAATGAATCTTTAGTGGCTTCAGTAAAGCCCTCGGGTACGTTTTCATAAAAATTCTATTCAATTTCAACAGTTTAAGATTGGTAACAGTAGTAGGACACCAGGAAGGGGTGGAACTCTTAATTATTGTGTTTTTTTTTTTGGTTTACAATAATTTTTGGTACCAACAACGCCTTGTAACAAAAGTTGCAACAACGCCAATATGTAACAAAGCCTTGCTAAAAGTTTTCTTCACTCTGGTTCAGACGTGCGGAGAGCAATTTAAGACAACAAAAACGTTACATATAGAATTAAACGTATACTGTACATAACATTCCTGTTGTTTATACATTACCCTAAGGCTTCTTAACACTGCAGACATTTCAAACGAGGCTTGGAACTGGTGCAATTGAGAATATTTCAGAACAAACAAAGTAAGTACATGCATGGTTAAACTTTAGCATTGCACACTACTGTGTTTGCTTTAAAACACTCCTGATTTCTTCACTTTGCTTAGAATCTTCCACAATTCAAAGCAGCGCAGTGCAATA